TCTGAACTAGTTCCGAGTTCATCGATGAAATATACAAAAACGATGGTATTCGTAAAGTTTCAACATTACGTCCATGAATAACCTCTTATATTAATAAATAACATTAATAATAATTAAATTTCTTACTCTTAACCCTTTGTCATATAATTCCTTTCATAACCATGATCGATACAACTACTTTGTCATTAATAATTTATTGGAAAAAGAGAAACATTCTAGACATTCTATGTCTATATTTGTTCTAAAACACAATAAGTGATAACAAGCATAAACATTGCTCAATTCCTTTGAATTCAAATTAAGTATTATTCTTCTGCTAAGTTCTGTTTAAAATCTTCACCGTGTGTCTGAGGCGATACTATAGGACAAAGGGTTAATTAAATTCCGACTATTTAAGTTCTTGATATTGATTAAATTCCCAATCTGTGTCTGTAGAAACAAAGAAACCATTAAGACTAGTCTTTGTTCGAGGACAATGGAAACAATGAATAAACAGCAAAAAATACATGGAGAAGTAATACTATTCGAAAGTAAGAAGATGCATTGCAAATACCATTTCCCATGTTACCGGGTAAACTGTTGAAAGAGGGATTACGAAGTTTCGGTCGATTATGCTAATGATATCCTGGCTGGCTGTCCGCCAGGGTAGTCGAGAATAAGCGCCACCCCATCAAATTTTTCTCCCGCTCCATCGGAAACCGAAAGGAACGTGTCAGTATCAGGAATTTCTTAATGCCATTTATGCGGTCGATACGGATTATATTTCCTGGTAAATCATCTGGAAGCACACAACGTTTGTTCCACCATCCATTTCTTTGAATTTCAAGCCAGCTCTCTCCTAGGTTTCAAATGTTTCACTTTTTTCTTCATGGCAGTTTTCTTTCTATGTACTTCGCAATTCTATTTACTTCGTTATTTAATTTAATATAATAACAATTAGAAAATAAGAAAATATACATTTAACATCTTGGATACCATGAGGGTCATCGGTGACTCCCAACCAAATCGAATTACTATAATTCATTGAATTAAACAGTGACTATTTGAAAACATTTTTATATTATAAGTAATACCACCTAGTGCAGTGATATTCGACAAGATAAACGTGTAATAACAATAACGAAAGTCAATTCAATAATTCAATATTATAACTTTTTTTGTTTCGTGTATTTTGCTCCGTGAAATCGCGTGGCATTCGACGTGTTAATATACTAATATACAAAGTATATTTTATATATACTTTATATGTATCATTTAATTAATTAATTAACAAATTGTTTCTATAATGAAAGATAATATTTACGCTTTATTGCAGAGAATAAATTGTTTAAACGCACCGTTTATATAACCAGTGCAGAAATTTATTTTCTAATGAATAAAACACACTATTTAATGTAGAGAGCGAATTATTTAGATGCATCATTTAATTAACTGGTGAAGAAAGTCCCTTTTCGTTAATTAGGAATTTAATTGTGCTTCACGCATGCATGGAATAAATAGACTATTCCTGTCACGCGAAATATTACCGTTTTATTCAATTAAAGAGCATTCCACTTGCAGTCAAGATGGAACAGATTAAATATGCAGGCAGTTATCACTCGTAATGTAAAAAAGTATACAAATACATCTACTTTGTCATGCAAATAAAAAGAAACGGTCCGCAATTCAAATGACAAAACAGAATTGTAATATCCACTGGTGCTTTTTCCTTTCCAGTTGCCTTTAACTCCTGGTCACAATTAAATTACTCTTAAATAACCAAATTAAATTCCCTTTATTCTTCGTCACTGTCAACCCTTTTTAACCGCTACTATTGATATTACAATATTTAAATCTCCTCGGCGCACAAACAAAATGGGAAAACATTCGTCAATCCTTAACAGAATTCAATTCCATTACATCTTCCATGAAGAGACATCACGTTCTTAATTTAGCTCAACCCTTTACTTCTCAAATCGTTAAAGATACTTAACGCCGAATCCCACACAGTAAATCTTTTGCACTCGATAAACGCCTTTCAGTCACTATTTGGTTTGATCAAAATTATAAAATTTTAAAATCAATATTCAATTTTATATAATATGTCAACACAGGGAACACTGAAATAAAACAGTTCTGTCACTTAATTTATGCAAGATGTTTCTTTATGTTAGTCGTAAAAAATATCATTGATATTTCACAAGAAAACAATGAATACTTATTGATAGAAATATTCTGGTGTGCAAAGGGTTAAAGTCAAAATACAGAGGAACACAAAACGTGTTGCTCTCAAGGCCACTACTATCATCGCATTTGTTTATAATCCAATCAAAAACAATAAATTGTTTGTAAATTGTCAGAATTGTCGACAAATAGGAATAACAGCTTCCCAATATTCTCGGATTATTTGTAAATAAAATTCATCCCAAGGAATTCTCCCCTAATTTCGAGAATATTTCAATCTGTCGGCGAAATCCCTCACTCGCGAAGCCTCTCGAAACTCTTGGCAGCCTAACGACATCGTTTAAAGAACTTCCAAACCCTCTTGCGACAAATTCATTTTCCATTCGAACGCAGATGTTGCGACTCTACCCCTTGCCGCGAAGTTTTCAGGGGGCGGTCACGGCGCGTCGCGCTGGACCCGTTTGCACTCGCAGCTTCTTTAAGGAATCCTTTCGCCCTCTCGTAAACATGCCCTTATTATTCGACGTTCCGTCGGTCGCAAGTGCGCGTCGCTGCGCCAGAATGCCAAATTGGCCGTAAGGCACAATGGCTCTACGGCAAGCACTAAATATGCTAAGCCGAGGGGGCGGAGAACTGAGGGCTGGGGAGATTTGGAATGGTCAGTGGAGTAGGTAGCATTTAATAGGACGGACAGGAACGGAGAGCTCTAGGAGACTATCCATCAATGTCGAAGCCTGTACATACTACATCGATATATACGGGGTGCCCCGTAACTCGTGGAAAAAGATGGCGGTTAATTGCGAAAAAAATGGAAAAATATCAAGTAAAATTTTTCTTGTGTGGCGGGTAAAAAATTGAGTTAAAGGGTTTTGATCTAGGTTGGATATTATGGGTGCTAATGTGTCTAATTATTGATTGGTGTGCATACTATACTGATATATAGGGGGTGTTCCAATATTTGTGGAAAAAGATGGCGGTTGATTGCGAAAAAAAAAGGAAAAATTTGAAATAATATTTTTCTTCAAAAAATTCAATTGAAGGTTTGCCTGGTAGTTTTTGATTTTTGTACTGGATGGAAAATGGAAAATAATATTTTATAATGTCATGCTTGTAGCCATTTATTTTTCAATTCGAAAATAATGTGAACGTTACAATATAAATTGAGGAAATGGAAAACTTGTAAGTATGCATATTGGGAAACCTTTCAAAATTTAATCAATTTTCAATCGTCAGATGTTATTGAATATCTAACTTACATTTCAATTTCATAGAATATTGAATAATTAAGACCCATGCATTACGCACTCGTAGTCATTATTAAGCTTAGTAAAAGTAACTCTATTCAACCGTTTTCATTATAATTATCAGATCACCATTATTTAACCATTCTTCACTGTTAGTGATGGAAGTGAAAAGCAAATAATACCAACGCTAATGAGGTTCATGAATATTAAGCGAAGTGTGCGTAGTGTGCAAGGAGAGGAAAACGTTTAGAGAGTAATAACGATAACGTACAGTTAAAAAGGGGGGAAGGGAAAAAAGCGGGCACGTAACAGTGTGTGTGCAGAGTAATTAAGAAAGTGCAAAAGTCGAGTTACAACCATAAGCCACTGTTAACCTAGCTTCAAAAAAAATGAGAAGAACGAATGAATAAAATAATGGTAGGAAAAGCAAAAATAAGAGATAGAGAAGTCAACGACTCCAAACAAATAGGAAAAAATAACTGGCAATGTACCTACATACGTGTTAAATAAAACTCAAATAACGTGCATACGATAAATATTTAGTTATTGGAAAAATAATATCTTTTTTATGAACACATTGAAACAAATTTTCTGCAGTTTTATTGTTCTATTTAATTCATCACGTAACATATATAGTTTTTTTGATGATTCAATTCTTATGATCTCGTTTAGAAAGTTCATTTATGTTACGATAATTTTTTAACCATTCCAAAATAAATTAATTTAGTACTGAAATTATTAAATCGTCCAACTGAATATATAATAACATTTTAATGAGACACGGGGTAAAAATATGGAAAGCTGTATTTTATGTTTTTGTTTTCTTCTTATACGTAACATCAGTATTTACTGCTTTTTATTTGCAATTAATAGTTATGGACCACCCTATATCCTCGGCTATCTCCTTCCGCTGGTAAATGGCAAATATATACACAAGAGCAAGGGAACGGTGTATTAATGAAATAGATAAATGTGATGTTGTAGGGGGATATGAATCACGAAAACAATCTTGAAGCTGTCGCTTCTCGATCGTCGGTTTTGCTAAAGTCTGCTGTATCCGCAAATCCGATGGAATCTCGCGGGGTTAATAGTTACGATAATCAGAACTCATACGGGTAGTCTGATTTCCATGTAAATCAGCAAAGATGGATAATTTTTTAATCATGTATTTCTTTTCAAAATCTGAAACAAGCGGAATAACTTAACCCCTTACCCTATGATTTATTTCTTAACTATAATCAGTTACTTTATCGTTAGGGCAGAGTTGTTAAATGCGTACTGGTCACCTAAATCGTACCTGGCACTTTTTTCGGAAGTTTGTAAATATAAAAAACGCCTTCTAGCTATAGAATTTGGAATTTAGTGTGAAGTCGGCAATGTAGACCAAAAATGGTGGTGTGCTGTTCATTCCACGTGAGCCTGTCGAAGTATAAAGAAATCAGATGTCTGATGTAAATTTCGACGAATTTATTTGGACAAATTTAGTTGAAGATTATTATTTGTCTTGTCTTGTTAGCTTTTTTAATAATCGTTATTATAGTATTTATATTATTTATCTATTTTATTTCTCCAAGCCATATTTTATTGTTTCAGGAATAGGTACGATTTTGGTGAACAGTAAGTACGATTTATGACACCGGTTGCTAACATCATACTTTTTGAAGGTTTTGGTAAAGTGAATATATATATATATAATAAATAGGTCACTGTATAAATATTTATTATCTTATATAATTTAAAAAAGATGTCACTCTATCATTTAAGCCACATATTTGGTCAGAAGCGCATCGCAATTTTCCTCTAGACCCAAGATTCCTTAGGTGGTACGATATCAGCAACTCTCCCTTACTAATTTATTACGAAAAGAACAAATTTTTATGCTTATTCCATGTTTACGTTTACTCTAAAGGTTAACGATTGATAACACAAAAGTAATATTTAATTTATATTTAAAACAAATAAATAACACTTCAATTTCCCAAATTCAGTTATCACGGTCTGACACGATATTGTAGGTTAAGGGATTAAACTATCCCAAATTTCGTATAGTTTCCAATATATTTCAAATTGATGACCATAAATCTACGATATGCGTGAGTTAGTATCATATTTTATTTTCTGTAGTGCTTTCAATTTTTTAACATATATTCTTGTACAGAAACTGATTAATGCAACTAAATAATCTATGATTTTGTTTACGCATTTATTTATGAAGTATGATTAATAATTTAGGTCATTAACAAAATCATCTACACGATCCTGTTTGAAATAGTTAAAGAATGAGAATAATTGTTTGTTGGAATCACTTAAAACGAATTTCTGTGTGATATCCTTCAAAGAGCCATTGATTCCTTTTCATAAAGCTTTCTCCGCACCTGCATGAAATCACAATTGGAAACACTTTTGTGAAGGAGGCCGTAGCTCATATTAATTTCTTTTTGATACGTGGATTCCGGCGGCGGAAGGTACTGCGAACATTTAATCCCGGTGTGGTAGAATTTAACGAGCAACGGAACACACCGGGTACTTTGAAAGGTAGCCAACTTCGCGTATTTGCCATTCTTTATTTGAAAAGGTCGTACGTTTTGGTGCTCTTTTGTAACCGCGACAAGCGACGTATATTAAAAGCTTGTGGAAAATTTTTTCCTGCCTCCGGAAAGAACAGTAACATTGGATTTTATTGCTGACCCTGGAAAATGGCCGGAAAATGAGCACACACCGGAACAAAAATGAAAAATTCTTTCATCAAGTCTCAAGGAATTGATTCTTGAATTTTTATTCTTGTGACTTCAATTGAATAATAAAATGTATTGATGCAGAATATAATTTTAACTTCAATTTATCATTATCGTATTTTAAAACAATGAAGAAGCTAATAAACTTACTAAGAAGGGAATATTAATTATCTGAACACTGTTTTGCTTCTAAATTTTCTTGTATTTTGAAGAAATTAAATAATATTGTCGATTAATTTTCTCATTGATTTCATGTCATTTTTGTTGAAATTAAAGAGAAAAAGTCAATACTGGCAGTTTTTTTGTCATCCGAACAATTATTGCTGTCAAAGTATCAGCAATGTCACCCCGAGACATGGAAAAATGCTGTCTACATCGATCGCATTGAATCGTGAACAAAAACCGCGAGAATTTATTTTCACCGCGAATTTGTAAAACATGTTTTCACTCTTTTTGCCGACCCGCAATTGAATTTTAAATGAGAATGCATTTTATCGATCCCAGGAATAATATATTTCTCTTCACAGAATTTTGCTCGCGTAACTTTTTATGCAAATGCGGCGCGATAAAGTCAGTGCCACGGTTTTCGTGTGTCTCTGCTTGTTTTACGAGTTTTCGTTTCGACAAACGTTGAAATTTTCAGAGTTGAATTATTCGGAGGAAAGAGGGATGACTTATTATCTCACGGTTTGCAGAATATTAAATGTACATCTTTTTAGCGTAATCGGAACCTGTACGTGATTCACGGGAAAAAGAAAATGATTTTCCGGCTGGTTGTACTCACTAGAGTTCTAAATAAACGGGTATTGATTATACGAGAGCCAATATTATTCAATTCGCCGGTGTTTTTATTACAATCTCGCTGTTGGTTTTTTTAATATTGTGCGACATTTCGTAAAGCTTTAAACTGTGAAATCAATATAATAATAACTGCGTTATACATGCAAACGATTATTGTATATTGCAGGAGATTTATTTAAGCTCCGAGCAATGTTCTGCCATTTTGAACATAAATGCATACTTTCAATATAACGTATATCCTATAGTAATAATAAATTGATGACCACGAATATAGTTGTTACGGAGATATTATATATTTTGTATAATACATAATATGTAATTGTAGGTTACAGAAAATAATTGTGTAATTGAAGATACTAATTCTTTTATCGAACGAATGTAAATGACCCAATGGAATAGTTTAACTGTAACAGCTGGACTGAGAATTCACGATAACTAACTACTAAATCCGGGAAGTTCCATTTTATACTACTGCAGCACGTCTTAAAGATTACAGGAAAAACGGACAGTGATAGATACGCGGAATAACGATGGCAGCCAGATGCTTTGAATCGCTCTAATTCTTCGGATAATTACAACAAGGATTTGTGCAGTTCAAAAAGCTATTACCTTCAACAACTTCGACAAAAGAATTTTCAACAAATCTCCTTTCAATTTTTTTAACCTTACGGACAAAATCATACAAAATAAGTATCAAAAAGAGAATCATATATAAATTGTTTCACAAACCTGAGACATTTCTAAATTAGAAAATGTACAATTGTGATTCCCCAAAACTCTTATTTTTTCAAATTCAATAAATGATAACAAGAGATTATCGAAAATAAATAGAAATACAGTAAAGTTTATTTTAATAAAAGAAAACATTCACAAACTTTCTGTAACGGAGAAATTGTCGATCGCGGAAACAGAGGCGGTCGAAAGCGAAATTGTAAACAATCAAGCTCGAATCAATATTATCCCCGTTACCGTGGAAGGCAC